AGATCCTACCACCTCTACCTCAGCAAACATCTGAGACAAGCTTTACAACAAGTCCTTCTCGGCCTCGCGCTGTTTCAGATGGGCCTCAACTTCATGACTCAGTGAACCCTCTGGCTAACAACAGTTGGTCATTTGTAAACCTGCCTGTTGATACTCAGGAGGCAGGGGCGTCAAGTGGGTTATCAGATGCTTCTCAGGCAGCACTTTTTGGATCCGAAAACCATGAACAGCTGGGGCATGATGCTGCGGCTAATGCTTTGCCCGATTTGAGAGAAAACGAGGATGAGCCAGCTCATCAGGTTGAACGCACTGGAACATTCGGAACTCCGGAGCCACACACATCGGAACAGCCTCCACTTGCTGCAGTTCAGGAAAACGACCACCCCGCTGGTTTAGTCGGTAGAGTGACTGATTTCATGTGGGGTGACTTGGATGAGCAACAACGAGCTGTGCCAGAGGCGAATGCCGCTGAACCCATCGCCGCTCAGCAAGACGATACCGATGGCTGGGAAACTGAGCTTGATGAGGTCCACCAAGACGTGCCTCCTCCTGATGAGGCTGCAGCGCAAGAGCCCGGGGAACCCGAGGATCTGGGCGATGGTCCAGGTGCTGGCCTTGATCAAGAAGCCATGGAAGATCTCGAAGACTTTGAGGGTGTCATGGAGCTGATCGGTATGCGTGGACCTGTTGCTGGACTCTTCCAAAACGCTATTTTCTGCGCAGTCCTCGTTTCTGTGACAATCTTTGCTTGCATCTTTGTTCCTTACAATTTCGGACGTGTCAGCCTCTGGGTGGTTGCTAACCCCATGCGTCTTGTTCGCCTGATCTTTGAATTCTCCAAACTCTTGCAAGATGCTGCCGTTATGGTTGCCGGATTTGGTTTGTGGGTTGCTATCAACATGATCGACATATTCACGGGCCTTATTGGGGGCCTTGTGGGCTCTCACGTCATCATAGCAAGAAAGGCTTCATGGTCCCTCTGGACCAATGCCGGTTCGCGAGTGTTGGACTATACTTTCATGGATTTGCCCATGTCTGCAGCAGAGATGCAGAACTTCTCTGCCATCAGCCATAGTGCACTCCTCGCAGTCAAAGGCAATATCGGTGCTCTCTTCATGATCATCAGTAAGGTTGTGGGCTTTATCTTCAGTGGCAGAATCTTCACCAGCAGCGTGTCGGTGGAATCAATTACATCGGCAGCAGCTGTAGCATGGCTCAAGATCACCGCTCTCTCCTCTGCAGTATTGAAGCCGAATTCTTGGGTGGTCAGCCTTGGAGAGCCTGATGGACCTCTTAACGTCAATCCGGAGCTGGCCCACTGGTCGGGGCTGGATCGCTTCTGGGCCATCGCAGCAGGCTATTCAACACTATTCTTCTTCGGTGCACTTTACTTAAAGCGCGGAAGCCCATTTTCTCGTGGTCATATGCTTCAAGCTTGGGAGGCTGGCATCATCGATACCCTGCACCAAGCTAGTGGCATTATGAAGGTTATCATGATCATTAGCATTGAGATGCTTGTCTTCCCGCTTTATTGCGGACTCTTGCTGGACGGCGCTCTCCTTCCCCTGTTTGAGAACACGACTTTCAAGTCTCGCCTCCTCTTTACTTATCACTATCCCCTGACTTCCGTCTTCGTTCACTGGTTTGTTGGCACTGGCTATATGTTCCATTTTGCCCTCTTTGTGTCGATGTGTAGGAAGATTATGCGCCAAGGCGTTCTCTGTAAGTTTTCCTTTATTCCTTGCATTGCTGAAGCTAACAGATTTACAGACTTCATTCGCGACCCAGATGACCCCGAGTTTCACCCTGTTCGAGATGTCCTGGAAAGATCCCTGGCCACGCAGTTGAGAAAGATCCTCTTCTCAGCTTTTGTGTACGGCGCCCTGGTCATAGTCTGTCTGGGTGGCGTGGTATGGGGCCTGTCTTATACAGTCCCAGGAGTTCTTCCTGTTCACTACTCGTCCAATGAGCCAGTACTCGAGTTTCCTGTGGACCTACTCTTCTACAACTTCCTTATGCCACTTGCCGTCAGCTTCTTCAAACCCGGGGATGGGCTCCATGCTATGTATACATGGTGGTTCAGGACTTGCGCCCGAGGCTTACGACTCACTTACTTTCTCTTCGGCGAACGAAAAATTGACGAGGAGGGGAGCTTGAGTTTGGGTAATCCCGTCAGAGGCCAACGACTTCCATGGTACAAGACTCTGTTTCTAGAGCTTGATATCCGGTATAAGGTCGTACCAAAGACCTGGACTGATTTCTTTGATGGGGGTGATGCTAAGCCAAGGGCTCCTCTTAACAACAGTGAAATTCGCTCGCTCACTCGACACAAAAATCATCTCAAGACCGCGAATCAACTTGTTGAGAGTGGACGTTTTGTTCGTGCACCTGCATCCGATCGCATCAAGATACCCAAGGGCAAGAGGGTCTTCCTTGATGTTGATGAGCATGGGCGAAGAATCGATGGGCAGGAAGATACTGATCTCTACGCCAGCAACCAGTATCAGATGGTCTATATACCACCTCACTTCCGAGCGAGGGTCTTCCTGTTCATTCTATTTATCTGGATCTTTGCGGCGGTCACAGGAGTTGGTTTCACCATTATTCCACTCGTGTTTGGCCGACGCATGTTTAAAATGCTGATTCCTCAGCATATCCGAACAAACGACATCTATGCATTCAGTATAGGTGTTTATCTTCTCGGTTCCGCAGCTTACCTGGTCTTCCACGCTCGCAGTGTTTGGGTGAAGATCAAGGATGGGGTTTCCGCTGCTAGAGCATCCCTGGCTGCTGGAAATCTTGAGCGACGCGCCGCTGCAGTTTTGTTACGGGGTGCCAAGATGCTTTATGCTTATTCTTTCCTACTTGTTGTCTTCCCGCTCCTCATCTCGGGACTCATGGAACTGTATCTCGCAATTCCCCTCCACACTTACATGTATCCTCCGACGGCTGCGTCAATTCAGGCCGCAAGAGAGGGTGGGCCAGAAGCTAGCCGGCACACGGTACGTGTGATCCAAGCCTGGACACTGGGCCTACTATACTTGAAACTCGGAGCTCGGATGATTACATCAATGTTCCCAGATACTCGCCTTGCTGTCGCTGTCCGAACGGTATTGCGAGGCGGGTGGGCGAACCCTGATATCGGCATTCTGACCCGAGCTTTCGTGCTTCCTGGTCTTGCGATTGCTGGAGCTGCCATATTTGGGCCTCCAGCACTCACAAGCGCTCTAATCAAGTACAACATCATCCCAGGCATCGAAGCAGGAGAGAGCGAACTGGCTGAAGCTGCGCGAATTGCGATAACATATCGACACTCATACCCAGCTATTGCGCTGGCCGCCTTGCTGGTCAAGAACACGATTGGCCTGGTCAAGGTGTTTAATGGTTGGACGGCCCGCATACGGGACGAAGCCTACCTTATTGGGGAAAGGCTGCATAACTTTGGGGCTGCCGCTGCAGGAGCGGGAAGGGTCAGAGGTGCATGGAGAGCTGGAGGGGCAAGACTGTGATGTGAGGGAGGGTGAACAGCGCAGAACAGGCGGTATGACTGACTATGTGGATAGAGCCTAGACATCGGACTTGATATTTTAGCGCTTTATTAAAGGCAATTGCCAATATGAACCAAGATTCACTAATAAGCACTTCACTTCTATTCAATTCAATGGATTTCAATTAGAGTGCATAAGCCTGCAGTGAATTATGTCATGTCTGGATTGATTCTGTGGAATGAAGCCACAAACATGCTACCCTCCATGCAAGAGAGTGGCCCTGTGGGGCAAGTGAACTTGGAAGATACCAAAATAAACTCATCAAAGAAGTCCATAGGTTTAGGCTAGTCTTTTTTGTCGCTTGGGATAAAGATCCCAACACACCTTGGCTCCCCTAGAGTGGGTATTTAAAGTGTAAACACAACAACGAATAAATGCTCAGGTGACGCTTTTGTTGACAAGTCGTCTTTCGGGCTAGTTTGTATCCCTAGAATTTCTAATTTTCTTTTTGTGATGCTGTATGAGTTGTCAAAGCTGCCCGTCATGCGAAAATGACGCACATGCTTGTCTGTCATGGATCGTGGGTTAATATCAGCTTCTATTCATAGATTCACGTTATGAAACTTGAGTCTAAGACAAAGTGGCGAACCCCTGTCAAAGTATCAGAGCGGTGGTGCATACGGATAACCCCTAGGTCAATGCACTGAGCTTAAGAGAAACTTGAGATGATTCAGATCAAAGTGAATCTTTCCGATCAGCTTCAAGCGATAGAGATGGGTAGAATTGACAACGCACATAACAAAGAATGGATACGACCACAATTCAGGCACAAAGAGTCATATGAGTCACGTGTGTATCTGAGACAGAAGATTGCTGTCCAATAGTGGGGTCGTTGAAGGAACGGAAACGCCCTGTTGCCCATGGCTGCCACTGACCTTTCCTATCTGAGTTTAGTGCATGATGCTGGCACAAGGAGAATGGGGGGACCATGTGTCGCATCAACAGCCCAAGGTCACAGGCCAAACATTGATTCAACACTCACATCAACTCAACAACTACGACAATCATCGCGCGACGTTTCCTACCCATGGAACTTCCGCTCTCCAGCGGCCGCGAATACTAACAACTGCAGATTTCCAGCATCTTGCAGTTCTACAGGTAAGAATTAGGTAGGTACCGTTTGCGAATAGACAGACAGGGCAGGGTCATCCTCTGTTTCCCTTCCGATCATCGTTGGGTCCTGGAATCGGTGAGCGAAATCTCCCGCCACTTCGCCCAAGAACAGGGCGACTGACTATGCCGACAGTTGCGCGGTCATAGCATCAAATCATTCGACGAATCCATCAACGATTTTCATCTTTGTTACCCACGTATTATTGCCTGCGCCACCTTTCTTCATCCCGCCTCCCGACATTTCGATATCGCGACAGCAGCCCCCCCTTTACGTACATATCGATGCGAGAGAGACAATAAACAACAACAAACACCAGCAAATCAATTAAAGTACGCAATATGGCAGAGCCTCCATCCTCTCCGCCAGGTCCTGGGGCCAGCGTCGAGGATACCCTTGGCTGGTACAAGTCACAGTATGAACAATTAGAATCCGAACTGGCCGAATTCAGGGATTCAAGTAGGGAGCTTGAGCAGGAGTTGGAGAAGGATATCGAGAGAGCAGAGAAGCAGGAGCGACATCACCAAGAAAAAGCCGAAGCACTTGGTTTCGAGGTTGAGGAGTGGAAGGTATGTCTACTCATTCCCAACAGCCTCCAACTCTAATCGGGCGGGACGTTTTTGGCTGACAATGGCTTCGTTTCGTCGCACAGAGAAAATACAGAGAGTCGAAAACAGAGGCCAGCGCATCCCAGAATGCACTCGAGAAGGAAATCACCACACTTCGAGACACAAACAGGACTTTGCAAATGAAGCTGAGGGATATTGAAGTTGCCAACGATGACTTTGAGCGACAGGCGCGCAACACCACGTCATCTCTGGAAGATATGGAGTCAAAGTACAACCAGGCGATTGAGAGGGCTGTCATGATGGAAGAGGAGATCAAGATTGGCGAGCAGGAGCGTGAACAGCTACGTATCGAGTCACAGCGCTTGCGCGAGGAACTGGGCGATCTCAAGATTGAAGCAGAGCTTCTGCAGGACAAGATCAAGAAACAGGAGTCTCGTCACCTGTCCACCATTTCAACCGACCTTTCTATCCTCGAGTCGCCAACTTTCGACCACCCCGCCTCTCCTGGCTCTACAGCCAGCTCTCCTCTCATTACCACGCCTCCAGATTCCAAGTCGCCCGTACCAGACGAGGACACTCTCTCCGAACTTCCTGACCCGCCTTCGCCTCCCATGTCCGACGTCTCTGGAACTCTTCCCAAGATGGCATCGAGAACTCCGGCTACTTCCAGAGCATCCGGTCGTTCTCGTTTGCCCTCATCGGACAACAGCATCACTCCCAAACCTCGATCTAAGCCTCCTACCAAGACGACCCGTGCGCCTGGTAGCCGTATCTCAACTGGTGGCACAACGACAATGCGCACGCCAGCCAACCGTGCCGTTGGGCCTCGCTCGGCTTCTCACAAACTTCCCGCCTCTAACTCACTCACCCATATTCGAACCCTTACCGCCCAGATGCAACGCCTCGAGGCTCGTGTGCACTCCGCGCGATCTAAGCTTCCCGGGCCGACTCGCACTCCACCTCGCGCCTCACCTCGAACGTCGGTTTATAGCTCTACCAATGTGCCTTCGTCGGTTACGATCCGTTCTCGTAAGCGCACTGGTGGCTCTACCGCATCTTCGGTTGCAGGCGACGACATGACACCAACCACCGGTATTCCAACACCAGCAACCAAGGGAAGCCACGTGCCCCGTCTTAGCACGTCTGGGGTCAGTCGCTTATCATTTGGCCCATTGCCGAACCGTGGAGGTCCGGAGGAGATCAGCAGGCCGAGCTCACGTGCTAGTGTCACTTCGTATGCCCGACCACCCTCACGAACCGCCGGAGAAATGATCCCACGACCTGTTTCAAGGGCATCACTCTCAGGAACTCGAACACCCATGGGCCGACCCCGCTCCTCGATGGGAGGGTCGATTCATGGCCACTCTGCCAGCATTAGCCACCTGGACCTAGAAGAAGAGGACGAGGGAGAGTTCCGAACGCCAAGCCGCAGGGGTACATACTCGAACGGTGAAGGCAGCGCTATCCCTATGCCAACGATTCGACGCCAGAGCGGTAGCCGAAGGATAAGCGCAAACACAATGAGGTCCAGTGTATCCGGCCCAAGGAAACTGAGCGACCTGGGAGAGACCTACTAAACAGTTGTATCCCACGAAATTCTACGACTGTCCCAGGTCGATTATATTCTTTGACATGGTTTACTTTGCAAGCGGTTCGAGCGGTTTACGCAAATCAAATTGGTCGCATTTCACCTCATCATTTATATCCGTTTCTACAAAACATAAGGGGTGGCATGGACGGTTCGGCATACTTTTACGGCTGGCGCTTCAAGACGGCGAAGACGGTGTTGACGATGGTTACGGGATTCCACTTCTTGCTCTCTGGCAGACTTCGTTACTAATACTTCTGCTTCTTTGGGTACATTGGGATTTCGGCACCGGGGTTTACGGATGTTATGAAGACATGGATGGCATTGTTTATTATTATTTTTCTTTTGTTTTCTTAGAAGGGAAGGGCCTGGCTAGGTGTACACATGCCCGAGTCACATATCCGTACATGCTATACCTGCCAGGCCTGGAGAGACGGGGGTGTACCGCACCAAAAGCGAGTCATCGACCGGGCAAATCAACTTGGATGGTCCTTATTTTAAAAAACGGCTTGCGAGATGGGAGCGGGTAATACTGGGGAAGAGTTGATGCGAGGCTACCTTTACTTTTCTCTGTGAAGTAAGGTTGCTCGCGGGGGAGAGCGGACATCAGTGGGGAGTCGTACGATGTCTGACAAGGCTGAGGCAACGGCCCGCGGGCTAGATTAGTCTGGGTTGCCTTATGATCTTGAATTATTTATCTATTCTTTTCCTTTGTGCAAATTGGAGTAGGAGGAGAGAGAGGTGTAGATACAGACTGAGGAGGCGTATGATGCAATATCTTAGCTTTAGCTCGAGGACTGGGGAGTTGGCGGTGAAACCTGGTCTAGATACGCCCAATACATACAGATAACTTCATGGTGGTTTCAGAGTGTTAAATGTGAAGGCCAAAGCAGCGCTGTCTTTGTGGTACTGATACGAAATAATATCTGATATGAAAGAAGTTAAGCTGTTGACTTGAATGATAGTTGTGTTTACGATAACAGGTTCAATCAACTTGTCTAACCTTTAATTCATCATGGGTAGTGGTTGAGGACAAATGAAGCTGTTGAGCCGAGATCGATTGATCGGAACAACGGATGCAACCTTGTTTTCCCTGAACTTAGCGGAGGCATTATTGCTCTCAGGATATTACGCGTAACCACTCGTTGTTTTAGATCAATGCCAACATATCAGACACGGTCATATCAAATGGTTCGAACTCAATCAACATTGAAAAGGATGCAGTCAGTATGCAGCTCAGATCCCACGTATCGCCGAACTTCGGCTCCGCTGGCCCCCCGGCAATACCAACACCTCCTGAAACCAAACCCAAAGATCCATCAATCTAATGTGTACATACAATGTTGGGGATTCGGAAAATGACCGTGGGTAACGAGGCTGCGGTTCTGAAATTGAACGATAAAAAAACTCCGAAAAGAAGGTTGTGTTTGATTGGGTGACGTTGGAGGATTGGGGAACTCAACAATTGGGGAGATCCTTTTTTTTTCTTGACCCGTCGAAAGGGGCGTGGGAGAATTAAGGTAGGGCGCTAGTGGGAAGTGGGGGGAGTGCGGTTGTTGGATCTGAGATTGAGATTGAGATTCTAGGGTAAGATTTTGAGGGAGGATGACGATAGCTTGGGATTGGGATATTGAGGATGGTGAGGGAGACGTAGAGGATGCAAAGGCTCTACAGACGACTGGGGAGATAAGAGTAATTAGCTATCTAAGGGGAGGGAGATAATTGACGAGTTGAATGGTTGTTAGATTGTATGTATGTGTATATCCTAGAAGCTCAAAAGGCATCCTCAATACATACGAATAGCCTCAACTATGTACTTAACATCGTGGGTGGTCAACAGATAAACTACTCAAGAAACAAGTACGACGATAGACCAAGAGAAATGAGAAAATCGGTATACCTTAGTGCAATAATACCAAAATGAGAAATTGACCACTTACATCTTTCCTGTCACAATCAAATCCCAGCTACCCAACTACCCAGCTCCCATCCCTGACCTCTATCCAAGCTTCCTTCATCGTTCGATCTCGCTCGGTAAAAGCTCAAGGCAACGGCGTTCGGATCACAGGAACCTCAGACGTCACTTCAAAACGTTGGAGCCGCAACTCAACGCCTCGATTAGGATCCCTAACCCCTGACTGGTTCCCAACATGCGGCTCGTGTTTGTGGCTTTTGGATGTCTTGGAGATCTGCTAGTTTTTAAATGGAAGGGGTGTGTACGTACACGAGATAGCTATGACGGGAGATGCCAGCCTTGCGGTGCGATAAGGTAAGGTAGGTTGTTGAAGGCTGAGGTAAGAGGCTGTCAAGACTGTGATGCTATAGGGGGATGGATCCAGGGACGCTTGTTTTATAGAAGGCGAATGCTGCTCAGCGTGATACTGATGATTACGATGGGGTTTATGAGCACCGGAGAGAAATTCGGGAATTAAAATGACCAGAGAGCATATTGTGAGTGAGTTCGTTGATGATCGGGTTCCGAACATGTAAGCCACCTCCGATAGACAAGGACCGAAAATCTCCGAATTCATCATCGGAGCCTTATTGAGTAATAACCAACTTCAGTATAAATTAAAGATTCACCGATCAAGATTTCTATTACATTTCCATGCTGTTTATAGCTGTGACTGGGGAAATAGTGTATCGGGCATTGACTTACACGGGCATTAATGAAGACCAACCATGAAGCCGCAGCTGACCATTCACAACATTCCCGTTCAGGAACCCATTTAGATAGCGGATTGAGTTTTGCATCATCATAGCTAATCTCTCTTCTCCAATTATACCATGACTTGTTGTAACGCACAATGTACACCGGCTTCCGATACGGAATCCGGAGACTTTGTTCGGTCTCCGTAACATCATCATTCATTGACCGCAACCATTCATAGCTCCAAGCCAATGCGGCCCCTAGTAAATGGCATTACCCGTACTCTGTGCCCCTCCCCATCAATCGCTCCCCTAGAGCCGCCTTGGCTGGGAATGAGATGGGAGCCGTAGTGTCTGAGTCTTATTGTCTGGCGTTTTACGGCCCCCCCCCCCCCACCTCCACTCGCAACGAAAAATACCGGCCCCTCAACCATCCATGTCAGGATCTAATCCCAGTCTGGTTATAGACTGACGGGGACCCTGAATGGCTTCCCCTCCACTGCATTCCGGGTCATTGCAAAGCCGACATGACATTGAGAAACTCCACCCTTTGGAAGATGTTTTTTTTCCATTGGGGTACACTGTAGAATGCTGGATACCTTTTACTGTATCGTCTATAGAGTCAGCTAGTCTCTCACTGGGCACCCCGCCCCAAGCCCCCAGGGGGTCCCGTAGGTTTGCTGTACGCCCAGGCGGGTTTGTCTCCCAACAGTTCTAGTTTCTAGCTTCATCTTCCCCGCCAGGTGCCGAGAGGTGCTTGCCACCAGCCAACAGCAGTCAACAGTACCAAGTCAACAACCCACAAGGGGAAGATGGAAGTGGAGAGTCTTTGCAGATCCATTGAATTTGTACATCCCAAAGCCAATCCCAAGCTTCAGGTTGTATCCGTACTTGTACTTGTGTTGATGACCTCCCACTTCTTTTTTCCCTTTTGATGAAGACTTCTCCTCCTCTTCTGTCCTCCTTCCAACCTTTCTCAATCCTCAAAGTGGTAACCTGACTCAAAGGAAGACGAACGAGATTAATACCTTGTTCAACCCATCTACATAATTCATCTGTTCTGGTCCTCCTCAACCAAGAACGTCTTCCTTTTTACCTTATCCACCTCATCTTAATTACAGACCCGACAGTGCCTACCCTTCGACCCTTCTGTATTTTTAGCGCCTATACCACACTTGGGACACTTTTTTTTTTTTGCTTCCCCAACAGTAACAGCAGAAAAACAGGCCCAGCTCCCGTCCCGTCGGATCTTGTTTTTTCTTCGGACGGAGCTACCCCTGCCCGTAAACTGCCCTTGCGCGCCCGCCACTTTGACCGGCTCATGACGACCTGAGAGCGACACGACTCAACTCTCTCAACCTGATCAAACTCCTCCTCTCCTCCATATTTCGAATCTCCGACTTCTTTCTCTCGACTCCTCCTTCATAATCTCCTCCTCCTCTCCCTTCTTTCTTCCTCTACACACATAAACGCAGTAGCCATGACTGAGATCTCAGCTGGTGCCCAGGAGGGTGCCAATGGGCGGTCGGTGCCCTATGTCAATGGCAAGGCGTCGTATGCAGAGAAGTTCCATATTGCAGACCACTTCATCGGCGGCAACCGATTGGAGAATGCTCCTCCGAGCAAGGTCAAGGACTTTGTTGGCCAGAATGATGGTCACACTGTCATCACCAACGTAAGGACATATCTTTCCCGCCAGAATTGGAGTTTTGGGGAGGTAGAATTCGATCAATTCCGTCTACCCCGCCAGTTCTGAACTTTGAAGCGATCGTAACGGGTTTGCTAACAATAACTCTGCTCTACAGGTTCTCATTGCCAACAACGGTATCGCTGCCGTTAAGGAGATTCGATCAGTCCGAAAATGGGCTTACGAGACGTTCGGCGACGAGCGAGCCATTCACTTCACTGTGATGGCTACCCCCGAAGATCTGCAGGCCAACGCAGAGTACATTAGAATGGCCGACCACTACGTCGAGGTTCCCGGCGGCACAAACAACCACAACTATGCCAATGTCGAGCTGATCGTGGATATTGCTGAGCGCATGAATGTCCATGCCGTCTGGGCTGGATGGTGAGTTGGCTCCCAGAGACTTTGTCTCGCTGCGATTCTATGTACATGGACTAACGAGATATTCAGGGGTCATGCCTCAGAAAACCCAAAGTTGCCAGAGTCGCTGGCCGCCTCCCCCAACAAAATTGTCTTCATCGGACCTCCCGGATCTGCCATGCGATCACTAGGTGACAAGATTTCCTCCACAATTGTAGCACAGCACGCCGAGGTGCCGTGTATTCCTTGGTCGGGAACAGGCGTCGACGAGGTCGCCGTCGATGACAAGGGCA